AGGAAGTGTCGCAATCAGAGGTGAGTTCTTCTTGAACAGAAGCCAAAAAAGAAGAAAGTAAAAATTATCAAATGCTGGCAGCGTGTTTGATCATCACCACCACATGAAGCGGTGCAGCGACGGCTCAGTTCCCTGCAGGTTTATCATGTTTACTGAATGGATCTGTGTGTGTGTGTGAGGCCGAATTCTGTTTATGCATACACACCTGCTAATTTGTACAATGATTTATGTGAAGACTTGTCTGCCAGAAGAATTACAGTCCATCATTGAAAATGTCTCGAATTAAGAATTTGAAGACAGCGGGTGTTTTTCAAGTCTTTCAACTCAGATTTTGGCTTCTGTTACTTTTTTTAAATCACAGCTTTTTGTTGCTTTTCTATAAGATTAAATTTCTACATTTCATGCAGTACAACACCATTCTGTGTGTGTGTGTGTGTGTGTGTGTGTGTGTGTGTGTGTGTGTGTGTGTGTGTGTGTGTGTGTGTGTGTGTGTGTGTGTGTGTGTGTGTGTGTGTGTGTGTGTGTGTGTGTGTGTGTGTGTGTGTAGGTGGACTGGCTGAAGAACGAGGACCTCATAGATCCGTCGCAGGACTCAAACTTTCTGATCACCATCGATCACGATCTGATAATCAAACAGGCCAGACTCTCCGACACGGCCAACTACACCTGTGTGGCTCGCAACGTGGTGGCCAAGAGACGCAGCAGCACGGCGACCCTTATTGTTTATGGTAACACACACACACACACACACACACACACACACACACACACATACACACACACATTTATGACAATGAACCTCCTGTCCTTCATGATGAGCATCAGTGGATACAAAACTATGAAATGGTCGTTTCTGTTATCGATAAGGAACCTTTGCCCGGAAAAAGATCCCCTGCAGGTTTTATTGATCTGTCAAATATCCAAAATGTTTCTGGAGATCAAACAGTGAGGCCTGATTGATTTCAGATGCTGAATATGATATAGTCTGAATATGATTTCTCCTTAAAATACCTCATTCAAATCATTGCAAAGATGGCAAATATGCCGAACTGGATCAGCAGGTTTTCAGTCAAATGCATGAAGTTAGATGTTCAAAGAAATGTGATTTATTAAACGTTCTCTGACTTTAAAAGATTCAGGGTATGACATGATGTGGACAAGAAGGGGAGGCAGGTTTAGTGATTTCTGAGAGAGGCTTAAAGTTAGTTTTTCTGTTGAAAATGTGAAGCTGTTTTCACACATGCACTCAAGAAGATTTCAGGAAAATTTGAGACTGGCTGCCGCTGAAATCTTGCTTTTGGTGGGACAAGTGGGAGCATCTCATGAGGCAGGACAAGATGTTAGAAGGACGCCCTGAGATGGCAGACGAGGGGTGCCGGTACGCACGCTTCATGTGCAGAGGCTTAAATCCTTAAGAGGGAGCAGCGTGGATTCAAATCCAACCTGTGGCTACTTTCCCACATCTTGTTCCCCACTCTCTCTCTCTCTCCCTCTCTTCCAGGTTTCTGACTCTATCTTCTGTCCTATCTCTAAAATAAAGCCATAAAAAGCCTCCCAAAAATATAAAAAAATGCAAATTAAAAGATGTCAGGCGGGCTAACAAGAGTCTGACACTGTGATTAAACTTATTATATAAATGCTAAGTTAAAGGCTTTATGTGATTTTTTGATCCAGCAGATGTCGGCCTTGAGCACCAGCATGAAACCAAAACAACTTGTGCTGCATTGTTGTGTTAGCATGCTAATGCTAGCGATCTTTATTATGCTGGTATCTTCACACTGCATGTAAATTTACCTGAAATGAGCGTGATCTAGAAACACAGTTAAGCAGTGAGTACAGTATGTTATTCTTCTTTTCTCTAGTCCTCAATTAAACAACTTTTATACACGAGGGGAGGAGTCAGCCGGCCGTCCCGGCGATGTAAACAAAGTGAAGATAGGACTCTGAAAACTCTGAAAACATCACAGACAGTGGGACTCAGGTGTTACACCCATTGTAGACAGTCATGACTCACAGAGTTATTTTCAGAGGATAGACTTGATTTCTATTATATTTAAGTGTGAACAATCACATATAAAGACTTTAAGTGGACTTCCTGTATAAATAAAAAGATTGTGTAAAACATACTGGCAAACAATGAATGAAGCGGCCTCATTATGTGCACAAAGATGGAACCAATCGAGTGCGTGTAGCAGGAGATACCTGAATATTTACATCCTGAGTTCTCACAGGCTCACCCCGACTTCTAGCACAAACTGTACTAGATGGACGGACGGATAGGTCGGCACTTTATAGGATAAAAATAACACAAAGAAAGTTGGTCTGAAGGGTGAAGCGATGCAGGTGTCTTGCAAATCTAAGAAGCTGCACGCCGAAATGCAATCATAAATAATTGAACGAGCTTTTGTACTGCAGAAAAAGTGAATAAAATATGATTTGTAAACTAACATGTTACCTTACCAAAGGGGAACTTCTTCTTTCTGTGTCTACAAGCCAAATTAAATTTGCAGGCTGTTGTAGGAAAAGCACGACAAACGTAAAAAAGGTTTAGACTTTTTTTATTTGTTTTTTTTTGTTTTTTGTTCACTTTAACCCCGGAGATGTTTAAAGATTCATACTCGTTCCTGGCAGGAGACCTGGCCACAACAAGAGCACAGTGGTTACAATCGCAAAATAAAAAGCATCACACAGAGAACACAGACAGGAAGGGAAAGTCTGAATCTTTTTACACACTTTGGATACAGTAGATTTCAGTGAAGTTGACAAGCGAATTAGAGGCCAGACTGCTAATCTGTCCCGTGTGTGTGTGTGTGTGTGTGTGTGTGTTGTGTGGTGTGTGTTGTGTGTGTGTGTGTGTTGTGTGTGTGTGTGTGTGTGTTGTGTGTGTGTGTGTGGGTGTGTGTGTGTGTGGTGTGTGTGTGTGTGTGTGTGTGTGTGTGTGTGTGTGTGTGTGTGTGTTGTGTGTCAGTGAGCGGAGGTTGGTCTTCTTGGACTGAGTGGTCGGAGTGTAACGCTCGATGTGGGCGGGGCTGGCAGCGACGGACGCGCAGCTGCACCAATCCAGCCCCTCTGAATGGAGGAGCCTTCTGTGAGGGCCCGCCCTTCCAGAGAGTCACCTGCACCACGCTGTGCCCAGGTGAGGAGGACTTACACCTGTTCACCTGTTCATTTATTATCTGCTCACAGGAATATTAAGAAAACACCAAAGTGGTAAATAGACCTTCGGCTTTGACACCGCAGGTCACACCTACACATTCACACCCTGATGGTAGAGGCTGCTGTGGAAAGAGTCCATCAGTATTAACTCATCCATTCATACACATTCACATAAAGCAGTGGGAGAAACTTGGGGTTAAGTGTCTTGCCCGAGGACACATCGGACATGTGGTTACAGGAGCTGGGGATCGAACCCCCGACCTTCCAGGCCCAAGTGGCCATTCTTGCAGAAAAATCAGATGCTCAGCTGAATGCAGCGACTTAAAGTCAGATTTTAGATACAAAAACAGGCTTTTCACTTGTTGCAGCTTTTAAAAACACTTGATCAAAAGAGGACAGAGCAGCATTTGGTCATGAATGTCTTGTAAAAAAAGAGGAAAAAAAAATTATAATAATAATTTCAACCTATTTTTGTGTACAAAGGCAGGTTTATACGTTTCTTTTCCTCCTGCACCTTTTCATTCTTTGTAAAGGCAAAAAAAAAAAAAAGTTTTTCTCTACATTGTGCGTCATAAAACGAATGAAATAAAACAAATGAAATGAAATGTAGGCAATCTGATTTAGTGATGTGGTCCTCTCACAAAGTCATTACAAAGTCATCTAAATTACTGCTTAGTTTTTCCTCTTCTGCTTTATTGATTGGACCCCCGTTGACTCCAAATTGTTTTAAAATCCCCCCCGTCTATCTGCTGTGTCATTCCAGTCGACGGAGGCTGGACAGATGGGCAAAGTGGTCCGCCTGTGGACCGAGTGCACCCACTGGCGCAGTCGTGAGTGCCAGCCCCCCCGCCCAGAAACGGAGGAAAGCACTGCGGCGGCAGCATGATGGAGAGCAAAAACTGCACCGAGGGCTGTGTGCGCGCAGTAAGTCACCTGGGTTTGAACCGGGAGGGTGCTGAAATGTCAGCAGAGATTCAATATTTGGCTCACATAGATTTCCTGGATGTTATGTGTCTTGATTCTTCAGACGGCCTTTTAGTATATCAGTATCTTTTAAAGTTCACTGCTGCCTTTAAGCAATATGTGGAGGATGAAAGAAGGGCGTGTCCAATGTTAGCTAAATCACCATAATGCCACCATCCTTGTCCCCAAGTAGCCAAACGGCCAAACACTCATGGAAGCCCACATTCTTCAAATTATATGATATTGACTTCCTAGTTGCTACAATTCTACAATTCACTTAGCAGACCTTTTATCCAAAGCGACGTACATCAGAGAGTAAGAACAACACAAGCAAGGATCTAGAAAAAAGGGAACAATGTCAGTAAGAGCAAACGATCAGCTTTGAGTCTGATTGGACACACAGGTGCTGACAGGAAGTGACCAGAGGCAAAGCACAACATTGAGGGCAGTTCTTGAGAGCTCTAATCAGTATAAAACCATCTTATAAGTCGTCGTTATCAAACAAAACCATCGTCATTACCATCATCATCATCAATAATATGGAGACCATCATCATTAAGTTAGTAGTATTCATGAAAGAGCTGGGTCTTTAGCTTTTTCTTAAAGGTGCAGAGGACTCTGCAGATGGAGTTTGGAAGTTCATTCCACACCGGGGGCGACAGAGGAGAAGAGTCTAGTCAGAGACTTAGGACCCTGTTGTGAAGGTTGCTGCATGTTTTAAAGAGAACGACCACGAGCCCCGCTTCAGAACAATGTGAGAATAATACATCCCACTCAGCCTCACTGCTCGACAATTATAACAAGAGGAATCAGGAGAAAACACAAAGAATTGCATTGATTGCGCTGTTGCATTGACGGGTCATCCTTATTTAAACACATGGAGGCCGTCTTAAAGGTGCAATCACTGAAAGGAGTTCTTCTGCTACGATATTTATCGGTCTAGTGTAAGAACAGTTTTTCTTTAAATAGTTTTTTTTTTACAATGAAAACATCTTTGAGACACACTCGAAGTACACACAAACCAACACACAAATTGTTATTTACAGACTTTGTGCTAAAAAACAAGAGCTCGATTCTTCTTACAGTAATTTTCTACATTTCTGACCATGTTTAAATCAATAAGCAATAATAGAAATCATTGATGCAGTGGTTAGCGCTGTGCCTCACAGCGAGAAGGTTCCTGGTTTGAATCCTCGTCTGACAGGAGCCTCTCTGTGTGGAGTCTGCATGTTCTCCCCGTGCATGTGTAGGTTCTCTCCGGCTTCCTCCCACAGTCCAAACACATGCTGTTAGGTTAACTGGAGACTCTGTAACCAGCCTCTCGCCAAGTGACAGCCTGGGAGAGACTCCAGCACCCCCACATCCCCCGCAACCCTGAGCGGATAATAATGGCAAATATAAAATGACTCAACCCACACAGCACTCACATTCATATACGAGGAATGTACAGGTCCTATGCTCCCTGAGAGAAGCAGGTGGGGAGAGAAGTTAGTTTTTTAGACCGCTTTTAAGACAGCCAGCGGCAGTTTGCTACAGAGGACATCACCTCAGTGACTACATGCACCTTCAGCGGATTTTGTTTTGACTCTCGGTACATTTAAAGAGGCCCTGATGATACCTGATGATCGGAGGGATCTGATTGGCGTAGTCAGAGAACAGGTCAGAGGAGCCAAACAATTTAGAGTTTTATAGACGCAAAGTAAAAACTATTCTGTACTGGACTGGAAGCAGAAGTAGACTTTTTCAGACTGGGTGTCATGTGTTTTCTTAGTAACTGTTAGCACTCAGGCTGAAGGAGTCAGGATAAGCTGAAGCTTTCTCGTCACAGTAATTGCATTGGTTAGATAGAAATGCATGAACCAGAGTTAGGACGTCTCAGTTTGGAAATGTTAAAGATGAAAGAAGGTTTCTGACGTGCCCCGTGTGCTGAATAGAAAATTAAGTTGAATGAAGTTTCTGTTTTGTTTTCATTAATGCTTTGTGAAGAGGGCAGATATTATAAGATTTAAACTTCTTTCTGCTCCTTTTCATTCCAAATTTGAGATTTTATGTTTGTTTGTTTTTCTTAACTTATTGGTTGTTTGAATGAAATAAAATTTAGGATGAGCAGAATTTCAGTTTTAGCTTTGTGTAGTGCTGGACGTGCCAGAGGCCACTTTAACAAACAACTTCTCCAGGGGGGCAATTTCCCCTGGATCCCTGTTCCTGGCTACCTTTTCCCAACTGGCTCCCCTCCAGTGGCAGAGAGAGGTGGAGGTTCTGTGGGGGGGGGGGGGGGTCATTTCCCATGTAGCATGTTAGCTGCTTGACTAGACTCTTCTCCTCTGTCGCCCCCCGGTGGTGGAATGAACTTCCAAACTCCATGTGATCTGCAGAGTCCCTCTGCACCTTTAAGAAAAAAGCTAAAGACCCAGCTCCTTTCATGAATACCTACTAACTTAATGATGATGGTCTCCATATTATGATGATGATGTAATGACATGGTTTTTGTTTGATAACGACGACTTTATAAGATGGTTCTATACTATTAGAGCTCTCAAGAACTGCCCTCAATGTTTGTGCTTTACCTCTGGTCACTTCCTGTCAGCACCTGTGTGTCCAATCAGACTCAAAGCTGATCGTTTGCTCTTACTCACATTGTTCCCTTTTTTCTAGATCCTTGCTTGTTTGTTCTTTACTCTCTGATGTACGTCGCTTTGGATAAAAGAGTCTGATAAGTGAATTGTAAATTGCTGCTTTCAGTTGTTTTTTAAGTCCTGCAGAAGTGTTTCTTTAGTCAAGTTTTAAAAGGTGCATTGCATTTCAAACTCATTTTTGTACAGCCGTGTATTCCAAAAGAGATTTACAAAGAGTTGCAGCATGGTGAGAGCGTGAACGATCTGTGGAGAGAGATGAAGCGGTAACTGCTCAATCGCAGACAGATGTTTCATGGGGCAAAATTTAGGTTTCAAAGAGAGAAGGCATCTAAAAGACACAGATGAGAGAGAGAGAGAAAAATGGACCGAGGGAGGAGTGCATGGAGAGGGAAGCGAGCATGACGCGGCCAAGTCGAAAAATTAGCACAGAGAAGAAGAGCATATGAGAGTGAGTCAGACCTGCTCTGACACCAATGTGCAACCCATGATGAGCTGGGAGGAATCCAGCTGACAGCGCATTAGAATCCCGAAAGAGAGACGCACATCATCCACAGAGGCAGCGAGATACATCAAGTGCACACTTCAAAAACCCTCTCACACACATAAAACAAAATGCACGTGCAACCTTGGGATCAATATGTAGCACACACACACACACACACACACACACACACACACACGCGTGGAGCCCTGACATAAACAGGCCCTCCATGTAGCAGCCAGATTAGACAAATACTCTGTCTGCAGAGCCGAGCGTTCTCAGGAGGCTGTCAGGGAAAACATGCACTGAAGTGGCTCCGTCAAAGGGAGATGGGGGAGCACTGTGCTGGAGAAAATCTGCGGATGTGCACCTTGGCAAAGTACAGGTTACTGACTGATTTATTTATTGTTCCAGCACTTCAATAGGATTAATCTGTTCGGATGTTGTTGTTTTTTTTGCATGCTTCTGACAAACAATAGAAGCCCACTCTGATGTCTCAATCACTTTTTTCCCTCCATCGAGGAGCGGCTAAATACCCCCCAGTCATAAATGTTTTAAAACGCCTTTGGACACCACAGACGATCTTTCCTCTCGGCCCTATAGAAGGATCTAATTGCTATCGGGTGGGATGTGAAAGTCGGGGGAATCCATTTGGTGTTTTTTTTTTTAATGATGCTGATGGGGAGAGGAGGTTATTTGTTTTTTGTTTTAGATCGAGTAAGTGACACAATCCTGAAGGATGGTTTCTGACATTCATCAAACACTCAGGGATGATTCGCATCGCTTTACTTTGCCGAAAGATTGTCCCCGTCTGGATAGCTGTGTGTTTTTGTTTTTTTTTCTTCCTGAGAAGGCGATAACGTACCCTGCGGGGTGTGTAAAAAACACGTTTTCAATCTTGCGTCGTAACTCCCTCATGTACCACACACACACACACACACACACACACATCACCCAGCGTCCTTGTTCATTTTCAAAACTGTCTTTAACTTTGGCACTCTCATCCAAACAGTCCTAATCTCTTCTGCAGTCATTTTCAAATACGCTTCTTGTACTCCCTCGCACATTATGTAAACAATTATGCAGAAGCTCATTCCGCATTCAAGAAGGAGAGGTTATTTTTTTGGAGGATCTAAAGTGTATTTCCTGGATGGCAGAGTGCCTTTTATGTGAACATTTCTATTTTCATATTGATGAGCTATTGTTTACTTTCTGCTTTGTATTATGTTGTTTCATTTGCATAACGACGAGTCCATCCATTTTTATGTTTTTTTTTCTTTCTTTCTTTTCTTCTTCTCTTATTTTTTTCTCCTGATCAAACAGATAAAAAGATTTCAATTGAACATGCAAGCCATCGTAAGTTCACCTCCCCATGACTTCACTCTCTCATCACCTCACACTGTGTGTGTGTGTGTGTGTGTGTGTGAGTCCTAACATCTGTGTGTGTGCAGCGCTCTTCTGTGTTGACTCGTCTTCTTTCCCACACTGTGTTGTCATCTCAGATCGCGTTCATTGAAGACACACCTCACCTTCTTGAGTGTTGTTCCCCCCCCGTCCTGTCTCGTGTGTTGACTAAGCATTCTGAGTTTTTCGGAGCTGGCTCCTTGTTAGCTCAGTGAATCATTCTTTGAACGCCTTGCTGCAACTTTAGATTGAAAAAATAAAACTGGAAAAATCACCTTAAAGAAAATGTTGTTCACAGTCACATCTGGTATTAAGATGCATTCTGAGGGATACAGTCACAAGTAAACAGACTTCAGGAGCAACTTCAACTTCTAGTTCAACCCTATTTGTCCCCGGATCTGCGGCATGGCATAACAGGACAGAAAAAAGACAAAATACAA